CATATTACTAAATTCTAAATACGTTTTTAGCTCAGGCAGAAATCTATTTTTGGGGTTTATGCCAAATGATTCAAATCGGCCTCAGTATGTAGTCCTAGTGAACCCCACATTCCATCGAGATCTGTAGTCTTTGTATTCCGCAACGGCTGCGGTGCGGCCCGGAACTGGCGGGTTGACTCATCTGAGACCCGATTTGTTGGAGGCTGACAGATACATTAAGCCTAATGAATCTTAAAGGAATAGGTTGAATCACATGGAAAACCACAGAATAATCACAATCGTGAGTAGTTTGGGTGATTGGTATTCATGCGCCTTATGTCATTGTGATACTCTGGCAACAGCTTAAATCCTTCTATTCACAATAGTCTGTTCATGAAGAAATACTACATAGCACACTCGCGGTCTTCCCGATGAGCTTCAGGCTCCAAGAACTTGAGTAGAAAGCAATTCGTCACCAATGCGCCTTAGAAGCTTGGCTACTGTCCAAAGCTACAAGAAACACAATCCCGCAGAGATTCTGGCCAATTGCTATTGACAACACTTTACAATGGTAAGTCAGTTAGCACAATGCCTGCACTGCCTGAACAACATGAAATAAACTCTTTTTATTGGCGTTTCGTGCTGAGGAAGTGGTACCTTATCTTTCCATGTCTACTTCACATTCGGAGCCAAAAGTGTTGTGTCTTTTAAGTCAGGACTATCATTCCCAGACACCCGTATCGAAGTTTCCATCATATTGTCATTCAGTATTGCAACACATCAACACATCAATACATAACAAACCTCAGATCCATCTGCAAACTAAACACTCCAAATCTTACGAGCACTCATGATGGCAGAAAGCATACAATTCCAAAGCTAAATACACATACCACAGGCAATTGACCAAAAGATTATTATATTATTTCTCCCAGTATTAGAATTACATACACCCTAGCTACACTAGCACAAACATAGCTATTCACAGATATTCGCTATGATACCTTCAGTTCCATAGACAACATCACTGCTATTTGCTTCCGTCTCTTGGGGTTCACATCCGCTATCAATACCACTCTCTTTACGTGCACACACTACTAAAACGTTGAGTATACGCTCAGTTCAACTTATCATCATCTAATCTACTCTTTCTTTCGTAGCGGCAAAGGACCCGAAAAACAAATTCGTCCACATCGACAGTATATCAGTCGTTTCTCCGCAGCCAGATTGCCATCAAATCCCCATCATTCTTCCCGTCGCATTTTATCTCGTATCTCCTGCTATCATCTCCATACTATACGACACCATACCCGCAAGTCCGTTGATATCCCAACCAAATGCAGTATCCACAAAAAAACCTTCGTCGACGTCAAGCCTTCAAAACAATCCCGCCTGCTCTAATTTCATTCCTCCACATCCGATAGTTCACCAGTCTAGTCGCCTGATCATCCTGACTATGGCCCTCGCGCACACTGAATCCAATCAGCTCGTGTATCTAATCTAATTCGTCACCCTCAAACTCTAACTTTACGTTTACGACACACATAGACATCAGTATCTGTCATCTCACTGTTCTCAAATTTTCTACTCCTGATTTCGAGGGTTTCACTAGCATGCAAATCGATAAGAATACCAATATCAATACATCTAATTGAGGTCTTATCTTCTCTCCCAAGAAATCGATAGAAAATTGACATAATGAAATCTATACCGTCTCTTATTACTTTCTCGTTCCCATAATGACGTTACACAACTTTTTATCCTCTACATCCCTCATGCGCCTTTCATCTTCAGTCGGTGATATGAAAGAATATATATATATATATACATAGATATAGATATAGATATAGCTAAATATTCACCTACTTACCCCCCATCACTCCCCTCCAAATCTCAAAGATACCGAACTCCATATTCATCACTCTCTACACCTCATATATCTAAAATTATATCATCAAATTATAGCTCGGAGCCTACATCGCACTTTCTCCCCATTACCATACCCAGAATTTGCAACAGAAGCTCAGGTCCAATTCCAAGATGTATTAAAGAAGACCCTGATGAAGATTCGAGAGAGGATATGTGCTTAGCTTAGCATCATATCATTTTTTGATTCATTACTCCCACCCTCTCAAAATCCAAAGTATAAGAAAACATAGAATCATCTACTTCAATCCTACACAACCCTAAGTATCCGTAGAGGTGAGCTGAAAATCAAGACGCAGGATGTTGTTTGTACGGGAGCATCTTCCATTTGGTGGTCAAGCTGCTATGATCAGTAAGCAAACTATTGCTCCTCCATGCGTCTTGATGCAAATTTTACAATTTATAGATGATTCTCAAGTTTTCCAAAAAGTCCCAATAGATCTATTATGCTTACATATAAGGAACTTCCTCGGTTATTATGTGCCCTTAAAATGAACACATGCGTTCTCTGCTCCATTCACGTCCTTCTTCCCGGTAAGAGAATTTCTCTACAGGATGTACTGTAGTATCGATTGGTAGGCAAAGGTACCCTTCTAGGGTGAAGCAAATTTAACATTCCAAACTAATTGAATGTTTCAATAGGATTCGGAGCAAAGGTCTAGGATAGTCGAACCCTTCTCTTTCAATCTAGTTGATAGTCACATGACATGACATGAAACCTGGATTGAAAATTATGACTTTGATCTTGAACTTCTGCAAACCTCTTGTAAAGCAGACTTATTTAGATTAAAGGTGAAATCAATTCTCATCGTAAGAACTCAAGACGTGAAACATCATGTGACACCAACTCATGTGATAACGCACCTGTCTCATTTTTGATGTGAAAGACACCAGGTAAGACTTTGCTTTTTTGCTTTTCACTGAAGGGACGTATTCATGACAGTATGGGAGCCTCTTGAAATTTCTCAGCCACTTATCTACACCAATTGAATCGTTCTCGCTATCTCTTTCCTCGACGGACATTCGATCCTCGTCATTCCCCGAGACTGTATTATCCGTTTCCTCGTTGGATTTTGTCATCCTTACTGTTAGACTACCATCTTAATTGAAATTGTTATATGCATGAAACATATAATTGAATATCCGGGAGTAAGTATTTGACATCCGAAACCTTAACCTCCAAAGGAGAGCCGTAAATACCTAGGCACCGCAAGGTTGTTTGTGAATATTGTCAGGAGTCTTGTTCGTGGAGAAGAATCCGAAACTACAACAAATAATAAAGATTGGATAAGCCATAGCAACCTTTAAGCCATGATTCTGTGACGCTGTGGCTTGAGCATGCTCTTGGAGCACGTATCATTTTCGCCTTGATTTATCAGATCGATTGTCTCATCTACATTATGGCTGAGTTTTTAAAAGTCTTCAGTATCAAGTATTGATGAATTCTTGAATAGGACAGGATCATAATATGCCTAGAATTCAACCTTGAACACACCAGTAGGCTTGTCCAGAGATACAAACGCTCAGCCAACAACATTGTAAATGCCTTGCGCGGATATGTCTTTTGGAGACAAACAATCCATCGAGCACTTGCTGGAAAAACACCTTGATAAACCTTGCAAATACGAAATGCAGTAGCCCAATCCATGTGCCGCATCCAACCGAAGAAAGCAGGAGATGAGGCCGACTCGGGAGTTGTGGACTACACGGATATTGACAATCTACAAACAAAAGAATCAGGCATTGCTCGAATGTATGTTTGTTTTATGAGTGCCATGTAGATTGGTAATATGTTGGCGTGTTCGGAGGATTTCATAAGGGATGAAACATGATACATTAGACGCTTAGCGCTTGCCTTGATTCAATTATTTTCAAAGAGATCTTAATGCTCTTACATAGGAAAAGGAATCGGAAGAGAAATTGGTAAAGAGAGATTTGTAGTTTTGCAATTGCTGAAAATGTAATTTGTATACCCCATCGGGACATCATCGGAATACGGCTGTTTGCCAGTGTCATCTGAAGACATTATTGTGTTTGGAGGTGACTAATAATTACCTAGGTATCTATCAAACTTTCGTTCTCCAGACCCTTTTCAGTGAAGTGGTAAACGATTTGGTAATGCCCCGAGACGTCGCCCGAACTTTCGTGTTGGTCTTCGACTTCATAATGACTTAAATTGATGGAAACCTGATCAACATACGAGTTTCTTGTCTCTGCTACACAATGCATGGCCAACGCATTGTAAGATCCCGTGAAGTACACGATTGATGGACACTTCGATTTTCAGGCAGCCTCAAGAAGTCACTACCTCTTAAGCGTGCCTTTATACAGAGAAATGATTGAGTGGTAGGGCTGCGCGAATGCGGATGCCAAACTTGGACACCGACGGATGATTGCATCATCTAGGTATTGGACTCGCGGATGGAAAGAAACAAAATCGTGTATAACGATTATCAGGCTAGGAGGATTAATTATGTCATCCGGGGGAAACATCCTATTGTTCGTACAGGAAGAAGGTGTTACTACCTAGATACTTGGTGGTATGTGAAATTTTCAGCCATGAACAAGTAGAAGCTATGTAACCTTCGTGTTGACTTGAAATGTCGTGATTGATGTTCACCTGGTGGTTTACTTATGCCTTTCTGTGTTCTGGTGACCAGGGCCAATGGAAGCCCGATAATAGATCTTCCTGGCGAATGAATCGATCGATCAATTTACTTGAGAGATAACGATAACGAAGTAGAATGGCTCAATGGCTCAATGGTTCATGATCTCGAGAAATTGCTGTGAAGGGTTCTCGGAGAATACATCGTCCAATGGAGGCTCGTAAGACAGACTCGTGAGACAGAAATTCGGTACGGACCTTTGCATTTTACATTTTGCCGGTCTGTTCTGGTCTGATTAATGTCAAACATCAAACAAAAGTAAAATATATAGACGTCGATTGTTGTTCATGCAATACTACCTGATACTCCAATACCTTCATCTGATATCGTGAGGCCATTCCCTTTCCTAGGCCGAGTAATGTTTTCTCTTTCGAGGCTCCTCAAATAATATTTCCTTAGCTATCTCGGGGAGCTTGACTTCGGACAACCGGTATCGTCTCCTCAAACATGATGCATGAAGGTTCGGGTAGCAATGATGTAGCTCTCTCGATTCGACGGAATCTAGATGGTGCCTTGATATTGCATCAATATTCTGCAAGGACTCTTTTTGCTGCAGATTGAGAGAAGTTGAAGCAAACTTATGATCGAATGGCTGGCCGTCGTCTCACTACCTAAGTACTGTGGTTCTCTCGAAATAGAATTGAGGCGGAGTATTCAACGAATCACAATATATAATGCGCCTTTCATATCCCGGCAGAGGCTTTTAACCGTCAAAGCCATAATATAACGGTTCTGCCGCTACCTGCCAGGTACTCTTCTCCCCAGTACATGAATACCTTTATCCCCCCGTCGATGGTTCATCATCGTTGCAATTCTTACCCAGAAACATATGGCCTATTCATTGCAAGGTACATAAGAATAATAACCCTTTTATAAATCCATTGTGCAACCCACAACTGATCAGTTCATGTCTCAAAGGGAATTCGAACAAACTGCAAGTCGGTGCTGAGACAAGGTTCATCAACACTAAGGTTACAAGCTTTTCAACATGGGGCTGTTTGGTAGATCAAACAAAAAGAAAATACTGCCATCCCAGTCTCAAAATTACGATGATTCAAATGAATTCCAAAGACAACCACATCCTATAGCTACAACTCGACCAAATTGGTTTTACATCGAAGAACGTCCTCATCATATATCAAATGCATACAATCAACATCGACCAGCGCCTCAAGGATGGATAGTGACTCAAATCGAACCACCATCACCACCACCGAGATATCAACCACATACTATCATGGCGCCCCCTCTTCTACCACCACGAAACGGTGTTGCGTTGATGAACTTGCGATCCGTTACAAATCTATTGACAGAGACTTCATTAAATGATCTGCCATGTGTAGCTGCCATTAATAATGGGGTAGCCGTTATGTCACAACAAACCATGCATCATTATCATCAAACGACCGCGCTGTACGATACTTTATCCTCGAAATTATGCTCGGTGGTCACGTCAATTGACGAGGAAAGATTTAGTGGGGATGATCGAGAGCTTACAGTACCTCAACATTATGATTCGGTATGGCAGGAAGAAAAAGAATTAGAGACAACCAGTCGAGATTTCTTTCCACGGAGTAAGAAATCAAAGGCAAATCTGAAGGAAATCAAACCGAGTGAAACGACACATACAAATTACTTTTCAAAGGTTCATGCATATGCCAATTCAAGGTTACCAATGGATCTCAAACCAATGAGACTGTAAGATTTCCATCGTTCCTTGAATTAAGGCTTTGAACTAACAAGTCACAGGTACTTTAATACATATCCTCTCATATGCCTCGCAGCTCAATACTCGGAGCAAGTTTATTCAAAACCTACCGGGCAAGAAAAAGAGACAAGAGTAAATGCGAGAGGAAGGGCAGGGACCGTTATGAAAAGTGTGCCAATTGATGATCGAGATGTAATTGTATTTGCGATTCGAGGAACCACACATTCATTCACAGATTGGGCCGTTAATGTCAAGACGAAGCCTACGTCCCCAGAGGGTTTTTTGGTAAGATAATCTTAGATTCATGAGGAAATTCTATAAATCACTAACAATTTTTATTTTAGGACGACCCAGGAAATTTATGTCATTCTGGATTCTTGGGTGCGGCAAAAGACTGGATTAAACCAATAGCAGCTCGACTTCGAAGTCTCCTGCAAGAAAATCCTAATCGTACTCAATGTTCTTTACTTATTACTGGACATTCCGCTGGCGGGGCCATTGCTGCTCTATTATACTCACATATGCTTTCCACAAGTCCCGAAGCCAGATCGGAGCTTAATGTCCTCACGGGATATTTCAAGCGAATCCATTGTATTACATTTGGAGCACCACCGATCTCACTCTTGCCATTAGAAAAACCAAAGACCCGCGCAGCTTCCAAGTCCATCTTTATGTCTTTCGTCAACGAGGGCGATCTAGTCGCAAGAGCAGATTTCGCTTATGTCAGATCCCTACTCGATCTCTATTCCACTCCGACGCCCGGAAAATCCGTTCTCGAACCCTTGAAATCAGGACTCAAATCTTGCAAATCTAGCAATGCCCTGTCGACGAAAAAGAAACATTCCAAACCCGATCCGCATCGGGATTTCGGACCCATATGGCATGTTCCCGAGGCCACTTTGAGTATTGCGGGAAGTATTATTCTCTTGCGAGGAGTAGATCGATTGGGAAATGCGGAAGGAAGCAAGAAGTTGCAGGATCGAATGGATGATGGAGTGATTGCGCAAATTGTCTCGGATGAATTGTTGAGGGGGGTGGTGTGGGGTGATCCGGTTAGTCATATGATGAAGCTCTATGCGAGGAGGATTGAGGTTTTGGCTACGAATGCTGTGATGGGACGGACGTGAGGGTGAGGTGAGGGGTGATGGGGTGAGTGGGTTGAATGAAAGAGCGGGTGCTTGATATAAGGGGCATTATGAAATGGGATGGGTTAGGCGCATATGGTACTATACCCTTTTATCCACTCCGTTTATTTGCAGGAGATGTTTTTAGTACGGTTATTTCATGCATATATATATACACAAATATTTTCATAATCTTCCTTTCTTGTCGAGTTACTGTGTGATGGATATATTGGATATGTTAGATACCAATCTTGACCCTCTTTTTGATACATTTTCGGGATTTGACTTTATCACGAGAGATTAAGTAAGATTCTTGTAGAAGTTTGGTGAGGTGATTATTTCGTATCGCATGCTCTTTCTTTTGCGAGCGATTGTGTTTGTTCTGCGTATTGTTTCTATTGGGATTAGAGAGCGGAGTTATGATTTATTCTGCTTTGAAGAAGGGAGAGGGGAGGGGAGAGGAGGGGAGGGGAATAGGAATGAGGATGGGAATAGGGAATAGAATGGGGATAGGGATAGGGATTGAGGTTGATTGGAGGTTGAATGAAGGTTGAATGAAGATTGAATGGAGATTGAATGGAGATTGAATGGAGATTGAATGGAGATTGAATAAAGGTTGAATGGAGGTTGAATGGAGGTTGAATGGAGGGGTTGAATGGAGGTTGAATGGAGGTTGAATGGAGGTGAATGAGGTTTGAATGGAGGTTGAATGGAGGTTGAATGGAGTTGAATGGAGGTGAATGACGGATGATTTGGAATGGAGAGATGATTGTGAGATGATAGAATTGGAGTGGGGTAATGTAGGTAGTGTAGGGTAGGGTATGGTAGGGGAGGAGAAATCTGGGTAGGTAGGTAGGTAGGCAGGGGTTAACAATATTTACGCGAAATTTCATTGTGTGATGGGGACTCTGGAGAGTGAAGATTTAGGTTGAATGCTGATGAATGGTTTTTTGCTTGGTAGTTGGGAGTTGGTAGTTGGGTGATTGGTGGTAGGGGGTTTGATTATAGGTAGATTGGTACACTAGTAAGTAGGTATACAAACTGACAGGACATTGTTCATATGGGGATTCTGGGGTTGAGTATTTAGGTAGGAGGTAGTAGGTAGGTGGTTGAAGAATGAATTTGTGTAAAATGTTGAGGGTTGGGATGGGGTTTGTTATTCTATGTACCTGCTTGTGGTAGAGTATTGATGATTTCTCTGTATATTATATTATATGTCGAGTGGATGTAGATGTCTTGTTTTATTGGTATTTGATAGATAAGCTGGAGGAACTTTCATGTCTTTGTGCTTGAGTTCGAGGACGAGAATTCGAACGGGGATTAGAATAAAGATGACGATGGGGTCGAGATGATAATTTGAGAGCGGAAATTTAAGAACGAGGTGATTCAAAGTTGATAGATAATAAGCATTCTACCCGAGAGGAATTTGTGATGGTGGGATAATCGTTTTGTATGGTTGAGAAGTTGAAATTCTTATAGGAGTAATGTAGTGTGATGTGTGTCTAGCAGTTTTGTTGGTTATTTGTATATATGAGATGTATGAGTACGTTGATGTGTGTTCTTTGATTGAGAAATCGGTATTGGTATTGATGTTGATATTGGTCGAAGGCCGAGGGTCGAAGGTCGAAGAGTATATAGAGTATATAGAGTATATAGAGTATATAGAGTATATAGAGTATAGAGTATATAGAGTATATAGAGTATATAGAGTATATAGAGTATATAGAGTATATAGAGTATATAGAGTATATAGAGTATATAGAGTATATAGAGTATATAGAGTATATAGAGTATATAGAGTATATAGAGTATATAGAGTATATAGAGTATATAGAGTATATAGAGTATAGAGTATATAGAGTATATAGAGTATGTAGAATATATAGAATATATAGAGTATATAGAGGAAGTAAGAAAGTAGGAGAAGACACTCGATGCTTGGTATGAATCAACGCTCATTTAGAATAAACGTTATCCCATCTCTCTATCTATATCCAAGAAGATTGTCATGGTTTTTGATATATAGAGAGAGTTGTCGAGTGAGTAATCCAGCAAGCAAATGAAGTAAAGAAGTAAAGAATGAGGATACATATAACATGATGGTGATATTTCGGTCCAGCATACCATACCTATGAAGAGAAGAATGTTCCTCGAAGTATCGTAAAAGTAAATATAAACTCAGAATACCTTTACAAAGGGTCAAATAAAACCATCTATCTTATAGTTGAGGTAAGAGATATGAAGGACTGTGAAAGATGATATCGTGTAATCGTCTACAAAGGGAAGTATATCCCATCCCAGACGGGAGAAGACTTCCTCACGATACATATACATCATCACAATATTATTACTCTTTCACACAAAACACAAATTGTGTAGTATTTCTATCTCACATTGAAGTTTCCCATTATTCCTATTAATACTTCTACCCAAAATCAATCATCTCAACCCCCCAATCTTGGCTTCCCATTCAATCCCATTCTCTCCGTTCACCCAATTTCTATCCCAACGCAAGCTACTGCTACAGCTATCCAAACCCGATCTTCGCACCTTCCAAAATCCTCAAAAACTCACTCCTATATACAAACTGCAATATCTTATCCTGCTTTGCCTCAAAAAATCTATCGAAAATACTACGCTTCTAATCTTGTTCCTCTCTTCACATGGTCAAAATAGGCCGCAAAAAGATGATAATTTTTGAATTTTTGAACTTTTAATAGGTATATGTATTTCAAATAATCACACCATTACGTTCAAAACGAACAAATTGAGGGTTGTGGCCAAGAAGAAATTCACGTGCAGAGTGATGACCTGTACATTAAGTGTGATATTTCAGTCCCGTGAGGAAGAATAGTCCCGAACATTGTTGAGCGCAATTGTTCAAACGGTCCCAGAAAGCAAAGAAATAAGAAGACGAGAAACGATGTAATTGTTAGTCCCTATTGATAAAGTCCCTATTGATAAGTTGAATTGGATCAGAACGTATGAGATTGAGGAAAAGATTTATATCTGCAGCTGCTGTGTACAAGTCCCCTTGAAAGAGCGCACAGAAAATGGTAACTCATGGTGCTTGGTTTTTTATAACTAAGGACCGAGCATTGTTGAGGTCAATTGTGAAAACAGTCCGAGAGAGAAGAAAGAAAGAAAAAAAAGAGGTGCGCCACGAAGGCCTGCCATACATGGCCCTAGAATGTAATTGTTGGTACTTGATAAATTGAAGTGGAACAGGACGAATGAGATGATGATAATACATCATGCCAGCAGCCAGAATTTTCATCAGATCACCAACGAGGAGGCTATCAGAATAATATTCATTTTGCTGCTGCTAAATTTTAATCTTGTGAAAGGGCCAAACATAAGAGTAGGCAAGAGAAACTTACTTCATGTTTGTCATATTTGACGGGAATGATGGGATTATTTCTTTTGACATTGATTTACTTTTGCTGGATGGATACCCGGATTTGCTGGGAGTGAGATCTGTTTGGGAAAGAGCTCTCCTCTAGCTCGGTGAACTTTTGGTGGTGATGATGTTCACCTCCTTCCTCAATTTGCATAAAGGGCGGCCCACCTTGGAGACTTCATGTTGGAGCTAGTAACAAGACGAGGGTCATTGGCTTACTGGTCATGATTGTGATTTTCATACTGATGAACGAGAAGGAGAAATACATGATGCGAATGATGATACAAAAGATTAATCAAAGTGAAGATGAGAGTTGTAGATTCATGAAGATGTTTTTTGGGTATTATACTAAGAGGGTGAGGTGCGGTGACATTCTTTTGTGTCTGCACTCTTCCGTCTGCTGCGGCTCTTTACCTTCATCTGTTACGTGCTTGGTAACCTCGAGCTTCGAACATTATGCTTCGAACATTATGCTTCGAACATTATGCTTCAAACATCGAACTTCATTCCATCTCCTCCTACGTTATGAAGTTGATTAACTGGATAGATAAATAAAGCATTTCAAGTTACTAATCTCATTTGCCATTTCAAACTCACCAACTTATTTCTCTTCCATTCGTTGAGTACTCTGTCTTCATACAAGTGTTTTACTACATACATTGAATGCACATTCATGAGGAAGGTTCATCTTCTATCAAACTTTCTGATATTCGACAACTCCTTTCATTTGATGATTGAATAATATCACGTACTCTTTGTTCATCATGTTGTTATTCATCACCAGTATTTGATATCTATCTTAGCGTCATAGAGACAAATTTGACCCCTTGTTCTATCTCAACACTTCACTCTGTGTCTTTCTATCAAACTCAATCAAAGATTAATATCCCTTTATTATCATTAATTTCTTATCATATGTAATTCAGAGTATTCAATAGTCCGGACTATCAGATACCCTGCGTTTGCATAATATCATCTACTTTTCATTATATCGTTCTTCATCATGAGTATTCGACATCTATCTTAATATACTTAGAAACGAACTTCCCATTCGGACTCTCTTTCAACACTTCACTCTCTACATCTTTCTATCAAACACATTTAGAGACAAAAGACCTTTCCACCATCCACTTACCTCCAGTATCTAACACATAATTAGATATTTATAAGCTCCAAATCTCACATTCCTTTCCTTCGCTATACCAACACTTACACTCCAACCTACAAACCTAATCAGAAAACACCACTTCTACCTTTATTCCAGATACACATCACTTCACGTATAATTACCCGAGTTAACAAATCAAATTCTCTTCTAGATGATTGATGAATCATCTTATACACAGTCATCTTTCTCCATAAATTACTCATCTACAACATTCGCTTCACCCCAAACAATTTTATATCAGTCCACCGATCCGATATCCGACTTCTATCCAGCTACATACCTCCCTCCTTAATATGATTAGTCCTATCATCAAGTACCTAATCATGCATATCTTCACACCCTCACACCATTTTCAATTTCGCTTCCCAACAATTATAAGAGAATACACCATCTACCATCATCTCATTCCTATATCATACCTACTTAAGAATAAAATCGAAATAACAAAATCGCCAAGAATAATTCATGAGCTGAGCTTTAACCCCCTATCTAAGATCCCCTCTCTTCTATCGTAGCGAGAAATTCACAAACCCCGTAGTACTGTAAATCAGAGTCAAAAAATACCTATATGTAGTAAAAAGTTCAATGCGTAAAGTGGGGCATTCGTTAGGTTAAGGGGAATCGATATTTACCGAGCTGGGGCGAAGTCGGCTGTTGGTAAGATTATATTTTTGAGATCTTAGAGCTTGGGCTTGAGAGATTGTAAATATAGTAAATGTAGTGAATAGATAATATAAGAGTTCTAGAATCTACTCACCGCACCCCTATGACAAATGTAATAAAATCCCTATAAAAATAAGGTTTTCCTATATAAATTATTATATTAAATATTTTATTCAAATCTTTATTTTTTTCTTTTAAAAAAAATCTAAAATAATAAATAATTCTAATCAAAATATAAAATATTTTTCGAAATATTTTTCACTATTTTTGTTGAATAGTTATATAATATTGAAATCTAATTTTTTTAAAAATTCTAATATATAACGTTTTTCCTATATAAAATAAGCGAATTTTCATGAAAATTTAGAAATTTCAACTTCAACTCCTTTAAATCCTATTCAAAAAATTAGAAAAAGATATTCTATTCATTTTTCTATAGAATTTGATTAATTAAAAAAGATTTCCTAAAAGAATTTCTAATTTCATCTTTGATTATAATAAATAAACTAGGGTATAAAAAGTTGAAAAATCCTATATTTTAGCTGGAAAAGCGTTATATGTGTGATGAGTAGGTTTCAGAACTCTTATAATTGTTTTATATTAAGTCTTTTTTTTTTGTAATTGTTATTAAGAGGATTTATAAATAAGAGATGGGAATAAAAGATATTGAGGAATTGAGGAATTGTTTTTGATAAAGTTGATGAGGTTTTGTTATAAGAAAATAATTATTGAGGTGGTTTTTGATTTTTGATTTTTGATTTTTGATTTTTGATTTTTGATTTTGATTTTTGATTTTTGATTTTTGATTTTTGATTTTTGATTTTTGATTTTTGATTTTTGATTTTTGATTTTTGATTTTTGATTTTTGATTTTTGATTTTGATTTTTGATTTTTAATTTTTAATTTTTAATATTTAATAAATATTTCAAAAAGAGAGTTTTTTAAAATAGATTTATAATTTTATACTTAGGTATACTTTAATATCTATCTGAATAGAAGAATCGATTTGATATTTAATACTTGAGAAATTAGCTAGAAGACGATAGATACTATGCGAGAGCATCGAGATTTTTCTTGAATGTTTATCACTCACTCATTCCTCGATTTCTCATACTTGATTATCTACTCACTCACAACCTTTGTAACCCTCATAAAAATCACCAATAAAACCTCCAAACCGAAGAAAAAGGAGTAAAAAAGAAGAAGAAGAAGAAGAAGAAGAAGAAGAAGAAGAAGAAGAAGAAGAAGAAGAAGAAGAAGAAGAAGAAGAAGAAGAAGAAGAAGAAGAAGAAGAAGAAGAAGAAGAAGAAAAAACCTAGAAAATCACAATATTAGTCCATATTATATTCCAATTACAATAGGTATAATACAAATCTACACAGTAATAAATATCTCAGATGGAATGAGTATGTTATCATTATCGTAACGATCAACACGAATTTTTTGAAATCATCATAGATGGAAACCTTGGAATACATGCAAAGGAGGAAAAGTGGGGACTTACTTGGTTGGTACTTTGGGTGTGGTAGTGATGAGTGGATGAGCGGATGTTTGTTCTGTTTGATGGGTAAGAGGGGGGTATTTGGAGAGAGATACTAGGTATATGGGAAGGGAGAGGATTGTAGGAGAGGGGTTTGGAGATGGGATAGGATGGGATGAGAGGAAGGGGTTGGAGGGAAGAGAATATAAATGTAAGGGTGAAAGGTGAAGGTGAAAGTGAAACTTGGGGGTGAGAATTTGTATGGGGGGAATGGCGAAGAGATGTATTACTGACTACCTAGTAGGTACTTAGTGGTATATGGTTTGAGCTTGAAAAGTGAATATTCATATACACACACACAAGACATGGGAAGAATTTTTCCGTTTCTTTACCTCTTTCTACAGCCCATTAATTATCAAGACCCGATAGCTCATTTCACCCTTTTCTAAAATCCAACCCGTTTCCTCCTTCCCCTCTCTCAATCACAACTACAACCACCACCTCAGTCTCAATATCAATATCAATTTCCCTCTCAGCAAAACCCATACCAGACTAGTACCCAACCCCAAAATCCTCTATCAACCTTAAAATTCCAACTCATATCCCATTCTAAAAATCAACACAATCACTCAAAGCAAACCCCCTCCCCCCCCAAAAATCTCTCTAAACTCTCCACTGCTCAACTCCACAAGCGAAAAAGTTTAAATTTCGCAAGAAGACCAACACGGAAAGAATTCTTATCGAGGTCTCCTATTTCTATTTCTATTTCTATTCCTATTTCTACCATTCACTACATATCATCATTCCACAATCTTTGACATGCATCTGAGCAATGATGAATAATGGATGACCGAGTATGCAAGACTTATATTCAAAGGAGTATTTATTTGTAAAAAGAAGGAAAATGATGAAAGTACTTTGTTGGTAACTACATAAATACTTTTCATAGAATGGAAGTCTCGAGATCCTCATTTTTCACTCTTCTGCAGGGATTTAGATGAATAATTATAGCAAAGCTGTTTTGGCTTTGTGAGCCGTGTTGTCGGATATTCGATTATTAGGTAAGAAGAATAATTTTCTTTATATCGTATGAAATTCCGTCGAAATGCTAATCTACATATTCGTGTGTGCTATTATATCCGGTGCGTAGTAGCTACAATAACACGAATCAATACCAGCTATTCCATGTATGCTCTATTCAGTTAATCATGAAATACATCTACCGTAACCCCCCATCCACCCCGCCCATCCATGCTTTCGTATACTTTACCTCCGATAATTTTTAAGCAGCTCTAGAACTAGTTAGTTACCCCATGCTTCCTGACTCGCCTCCTAAAACACTCTATAAACTCCATACACTCCATTTAACACGAAGCAATCCAAGCAGTGAAAATCACCGCCATACACTGCATGAGCAACACGCCTACCCCCAAAAAACCACCCGGACTACTCATCAAACTCTTCAATCCTCCCGCTCCACTAGTACTAGTCTGCGCACTCCCACTTGCACTCCCACTCGTACCCGTCGAATAAGGAGCCCCAGTACTCGTGGAAGTAAATCTACTAGACTCTATTGCCGTATAGCTCGTTAATCGAGCCGTTGCACTTCCGGTAATACTTCCTATCGTCCATGCAGCATTGCCAGTATAGTAATCTATGCGTAGGTATGAAAAGTCAGTACGTGAGCGCGGGAAAGAAAAGCGCAAAGACTAGTAGATGAACTTCCCAAAGCTATAGAAAAGTCCCGCGATCAAATCCACAAAACTAAAGAAAAATCCCACTCACTGCTAACCGCCGTCTGGTTTGGAAATCTATCCGATCCCAGCACCACATCCGGTGTCGTCAACGCTTGCGACGCATCGACGCCCGAGAAAAAGTTCGTAAACGGTTGTACAGGTGTGGCTGTACATTCCGCCCGACTCAAACTTGAAATACTCGCATCACTTTCCTCTCTTGTGATATTCTGATATCCATGCGCGAGATAACAATCCGTACAAGCTGTTTCGAGTTCCCACAATGAGGATGGACAGATACATTCTTGCTCGGCGAGAAAATCAATAGGTGATGTACCATTGGCGAGACAGGCGTAGATGATATAGTTACTGCGCTCGCAAGGGAAAGGAGAATTGGCCATGATTTGTAATCGTTTTTCAGCGCCGTTTGAACCTACGAGAAGACTGATATTCGCTAAATTGGGATAACACATCTGGTAGAGGTAGTTTTCATTGGGATGAGGCGTTGGTCGAATTTGCCGAAGGGCAAGGGGTAATGAATTCTCGAAAGCGGCCGAAATGCCTACGGTAAGGAAAAGTATGAGATTTTTGTACTGAACCATATTTATCGTGTAGCCTGAATTCTGGTTTATTGGAAGTGATAACAGAGTTCAATAATAAATGAATTAATTGCAGTAAAGAAAGTACAGACTAGAAACATTAAATAAAGCACGACGAAGCAAAAAAGAGGCTCCTAATCAAATAGAAACGAGGAAACTGGTGAAGATTAAAAGTGTCGTAATATTACGCCAAGACAAAACTGCGTGAGTTCGTATCACTATGATTCGTCTGTTGATCAACGACCTGCATATTTTGGCGCCTTTATGTTGGGGTGACAGGGAATTGAAGAGGCACAGCAGTACCCAGTTGAAGACCAGACCCATAAGGTGATAGAAAATTGTCCACGGTGTGCAAGCTAAATTGGACTTCAGAATTACCCCGTAAGTTGCGTTGCCCAATTGAATTTTACCCGGTCGGATAACCATATTCGGTTTTAAGAACGAGCTTATGAAAATAGTATTGATTGAAGAGCCTCTGAATATATCCATTGAAAGGATTGATACCGACATACTTGTATTTACCTATAGATATTATTAAAACTGTCGTGAGTTATGAGAATGTAATTACTAGAATTATGGTTCTAAAATTCTGCTAAAGATAGAGCTGAGAGATGTCTGCCAAGACTTTCTGAATTGCTTGAATGCTCAAAATGAGGACTTCCAATTAACGAGATGTTGTTTTCATGATGGACTGATCTGAAGTATAAATCGCACACTGAATGTGACCTGAAAATAAATGAGTGAGAGCATTAAGTGCGAGTTAAAGAATCGCTCGATGTTGCAATGTCGCATTGAGAGTCTGATTCCTTCACAATGTCATCTTTCGTACCCTCTGAGATCACCAGAACTGATTTCTGCTGAGTGTCGCCGTCTGTCTCTATTTCCAAGTTTTTAGTGGCTACTTGGGGTTGCTTCTCGATAGGATTATCTTTAGCGTCATTGTTGACTGACGAAGAAGTTCCAGTAACCACGTTGTGTGAATCAGAGATGGCGATATTTAAGTCTTTGTTAGGTTCAATTTTGGTTGCGACATCGGAAGGTGTTGTTGAGTCGTCTCCTGTTGCAGTATCTTTCAACTTCTCATCTTTCCCATTTCTCCCCATCTTCTCGGTGTTTTTGTCATCTTCAGCATCTTCCACATCACCATCAATCCCAGCTTCATTCTCCTCTTTCAACTCAGTGTCTTCTTTTTCCATACCCTCTTCGCAAATATTAAGCACCAATCCTTCATCCTTACTATACACCCTGAAACCAACAATACACACCGCATTCCATGGCTCTGGTTCATCTTCATCAACTTCCTTTTCCTTTGGCGGTTTGGGCTCGTTAGGCTGATTTCGTGGCTTAAGGGTAGGATCGTCGTCACTATACATATCATAGTCTGAAAGAGGACTTGCACTTGATTCCCCCTCCGAAGTAACATATGGACATGGTCTTGAGGGAGGAGGTCCTCGACCATAGCTTGGTGGACGACTCGAATGTCTACGAAGATTAACAAAGCTTGGAGGTGGAGGTAGTGATTCACGGCGATTGGTGCCAGGTTCCGGAATCATCGTGTACGGTGAATGAGGAGATGAGCCATTACTCTTTGGAGTTACAGGAGTTGCCTGAGACTCATTAGAAGATGGTGTGAAGTCTTCTGTCTGGACTGCCTTGTCCCTTTCATTTATGGGCTGCGTGTCAATTGTAGTACTTATCGACTTCTCATTAGGATCTTCAGTTTGTATTGATTTGTCTTGTTTCTCGACTTGAACTTCTGGAATATCCTCCGTTTGAACGCCTTGATCCTTCGGCTCACGTTCTTCTTGTTCCTTTGCCCACTCGGCATCTCTTTCTGCCTTACCTTCACGCTTCTCATAATTCTTCTTCTTTTGCTTCCTTACTATCTCCCGCGCACTATGTCTTTTCTCCCAAAGAACTTTGCGTTTAGCAATCCTTGACTCCCGGGCCTTTGCTTTATCTTGAGCCTTTCTGAATTTAACTCTTGCTTCCATGTGAGATAGTCCTTTCTGGTGAGCTAAATCGTAAGAATTCCCGACTGTAGCCAATTTCTCATTATCTTCTCTTCGACTTAATTCATCTTTCAAGACATCTTCAACACTCTGTAGACCTTTATCCCTTTCTGCTATGACCATCATGTATACTGCGTATGTTCCGGCGGAGAGACTCTTTAATTCAGCTACCACACTTCTGCTCATAAGGTAATTCCCATGGCTTCGGATGATGTAATCTTCTTCACCAGGTGAATTCATCTCGTGAACCCGAAACTGCAATCTGAAGTGATATTGACCATGTAAACCAACAAAATACCTGCCATCGAGTTGACTCATAACCAAAACTATTGGTGATTCCTCCTTGAGTGTTATAGTGAACTTCTGTTCAAACTCGGATCTCCATGGTACCTCTACGCTGATCCACTCTTGAGTCAATCGCCAATCGGGACTATCTACGAACAACCGAGTTCGATCGAAATGTTGATATTTGCGTAGTAAATCCTGATATGAAATCCAGAAGACACTATCGTTTCCGAATTTGTGGTTGAGTTCTATTTGAGCTTCAGGGGTGAATTCCTTACTTCCATCTGACCACGGTCCTTCCCAATTACCTTTTTTGATTTTCCCCCATGGGTTCCTTCACATAAATTTATCAGTGATAATCCTCAACACTATGTGAAAAACAAACCGTAATTTGAGGAGACGCTCGCCAGTAGATAACTCTCTAGCTTCCATGATAACGTATGCATGCCCTTCAGATATTCCGTCTCTATTGCCGTAACCATAATCGAGAAGACCTGTAGAACAACCAAAAAGGAATTCTTTGTTGACATTGAGAATTTCGTCATGCCAAAATTCATCAGTATCAAGAATATCCGAAGTGAGAAGTTCCGTAGTTACGCCTCCTGTCAAATCTTCAAGACCCTCCCTATGAAAAGTTAATTGATAAATGAGATGATAGAGATAGTATTACCCTATCCATCCTCCGCTCAAAGAAAGGAAATCCCCATGTGCTTTAGCATAAGCCTTTTCGAGAAGAGGAAGCCATGTTTGATTTGGATCTTTACAATGAGCAAAGAATAATGACTGAGACCCTGTTTGATATGTTTTTCGATATTCTTTTTCAACGTCCTCTCGGTCGGTTTGCTCGAGTAGATGTCTATGGACTGAGGGTGAATCCCAATCTGGCGATTTCAGATAGAGCTTGTCATCGATAATTGATATGATCCATTCACCATCTAATTGCTATTAGCGATTACTACTTATTGTTCGAGGGAGAAACTTACCACGATGAAACACAAAGCCATATATCCCGATTTCTAAGACGACATGGTTAGACCTGACTTTAAAATGCGAATGCTCAATACTGACTTGTGTCCCATTCAACACATATTCTTTGAATTCCGTCTTTCGTATTTGCTAATGCTGTCAAACTAGACATCAACCAACAATTCCCAAGACTTCCTTGTCTGACATCCGAAGGAGAAATCTTATCTCCTAAGAAAGTTGGCTTATCAAATATTTCGTGAACTCTCTTGACAGCCTTCGGCCCGGAGGATGAAGGATTGATAAGAGCGCGTTTGCAAACTTCAAATCTTATCTCATCAAGTGTATTCAGACAATTTCCTTTCTCCCATTTCAAGTCCCAGTCTATATCAAAGCTTGCGTCACGAAAACGCATATTAACTCGCCTACATTCTTTGACAAGTTTCTTAACTTTGGCTCTGCATTCTTGAACCGCTCTTTCGAAGTCTTCTGAAACGAGCTGATTCTGCGGGCCAGGTGGAGGAACAATAACGGTCTTTGCAGATGTTCCTTTCGCAAAAGGTGCTGCATTTGGTAAAACTTTTGTAGCTTTACTGAATTTGGATGCAGAAAATCGAGACCAAAGTTTATCGATCGTATCTTGAGGTGCTACGTATTTATTTTTCTTCTTTGATTTCTTATTGCTCCCTTGAAATGGCGGAGGAGGAGGAGGAGGAGGAGGAAGAGGAGGTGGGGGTCTTGGACCTGGTCGGCGTCGTCTATCACTATTGTCGGAATCGCTTGAAGATGCTGTACAAGACATGATACCTTTGACAATTGATGATTGCCTGTCAAAGTGTAAAGGCAAGAAAACAAACAAAACCAACGATAATCAAACGAAATCAACGATCCCTTGAATCAATTTACAATGTTTATGGGATGTTCAGATCATGACCACTTTCCAGCCTTGCACTCTCATCCTTTATCAGCTTACCACATAGGCAGACACTGCCCCCGAATGCCTTTTGCTGTCGCCTCCGCAAAAAGGAAGGCTCTCATCGAACCATTTGTTCGGAAGAAAAGACGTGCATAAGTTGGCAGCCGATAAGGTCGCACGAGACTCTTATTGAATAATCAATCCATCGCTTGCTTACTCTTTACCAGGAGTAGGTCTTTTCAGCCGCAAAGCTTGGGCGCCGAGATGACACCCACTCGAAGTAATTGCCTTATAATAGAATGACACAAGATCCGAGGTGTGTGTGCAGTTATATAGATTGATAGCAAGTCATTATCAATATTGGATGTTCAAATGTGAACTGCTTGACACGACGAGATTTCAAAATTCGGAGGACTGGACTGGTTCGAGACTGACTGGCTCGACTGGCTCGACTGGCTCGACTGGCTCAAAGACTGGCTAGAGGTACCGAGTAGTGCACAGACCATAGTACGCTAAAGAATGTCGGCGTTCGGCTTTATCAAGCAAGAAGCAATACATACTCGTAGATGCAGCCATTCATGAATCTACACCAACCATCTTACCTACCACTTCATGTTGATGCATATGTGGTTGCGAGGTTGCTTCGTACGTACATGTGAATTAGACGTATGTATACCTCAATACTCCACTATCTATTGGAAGTCCACAACAGTATGGAATTATTGGCGTCGTTGATGAGCCTCACATCCGGCCGTGTCTTTTTCGTCTCTTGCACCACCCACCCTCGTTGTACCGGTACTCTCAAACTCATTACGCTGGAATTCCGCAAGGCTTTCCGCTCCAAGATGATGGTTTCTCAAGATTTGGCTTGGATATGAACCCTTATCAGTCAAAAATCCCCATTGCGGTATTTGGCCTAGAACTTAGAGATGAACTTGATACATTGTAGGCATTGTGATCCTCAATTAGATGCCGTTGAAGCTATCTTTGAATCTTATTTTGATGCATGTCATCCCGCTCCGGCCTCGTATATGGCGTCAGATAAGCTTAGCATCGAGATGAAAAAGAAGATAACCATGACAGCTTGTGAGGCTGCGTCTTTACAGTCAAAGCCATTGTGAGCTTGCTGCTCTCTGTTTTGTCGATTCTGATATCGACAACGGTACCTGAGATGCTAAGAATATCATATTTCTCGCGTCCCCTATTAGTCAACGTCTGATTGTACTATTCGTTCTGGTAGCATGACTGTGAGCCACATTGAGTAGCACGTTGGACTTTCAACTCATGTGCCGCTCGCTCGCTCGCTCAACCTGCCATTCACAAATTCGACAACAACACTACCAAACGATCCCACCAATCAAGACGACTTCAAATGAACAATCAACGGTAAGCAGCCGTTCGTCAAAACATCGGAAAACTAAATTCGGTATCTCGGTTTAATTTAGATGCATGTTGGTGGGGGTACAAGAGATAATTGTTGAACCCCTCACAAATCATAGGTAGTTCTCTCGTTCTATCAAGTACAGACTCACACGACCCCTTTCCTTCTTAGCATTACCACTTTATCATTCATGTTGATCTACTCCTGTGTGATTGCCGTAATATCATACACATACAGGCCAAAGAATCTCTCTTCTCAAGATTCAACAAACTCCCGACTCAGTCACCTCATCCCACTTCCCACTTCCAATCCCTCGTTATCCGATCGTACCTTGTTCTTGAACTGTCCAATCCCGGATACGATCTATCCATAATTATTTTAGTATGGTGAATCCACCGCGGGGTACAGCTTTGGCAAGTTGGTATGATGAGCCATCGTTGATTTGATTATCAATCGATTATGTGCACTGGCTCAACCATCAATGTGTCCCCCGCGCTACGGCAGGAATGCCAAAGTATGAAATATTATTGCATAACGTCCTGTTGTCACTGCGGCAATTGGAAAGTAGTCAAACCTGATGAACCAAAAGATCAGACCTTTCTCTCTGCCCCACAATTCAAAAAGGACACTCCGCAGTACCTTGTGGTTGTATTCTTCCTACTTAAAATACTTCATTCCCTAGAGCCTTTCTTCGTTCATTGATTGTTCTTTTTCCCCTTTCTTTTCCCTTTCTAGATACCCACCTGTTGATAGACAATTGCATCAACACTTATTTTACTTTCATCCGTCAACACTCCCCGAAAAGATATCACAGGCTATCTTTTCGTTCATTATGGAACCCTCAAATTATGAACAAATACCAGACAAGCCAAGATATATTGACTTTCCATCTCTAGAACATGGTACTGTTATAGATGGAAAATTGGCCTTGAATCGATGGTCTCATACAATTACACACGGCCATGACTTTCCAGGAGCTCAGGTAAGAATATACAAAGCATGGCCAATCATTACATCTACTGAATCTGTTTCTAGGCAATGTTGTACGCGGCAGGAGTGCCAAATCGAGAAATGATGAAGACTGCACCTCATGTTGGAATATCTACTGTATGGTGGGAAGGAAATCCTTGCAAGTATGTTCTCTATCTTTGGATATGCAATCGACCACGAAGACGATAATGAATTTAGCTGACATAGTATTATAGTATGCATCGTAAGTGACACAAGATAAGGAGATCTTTCAAGGCATACGATTTAACGAATGCTTGTAGTACATGACCTCGGAAAGCTAGTCAAAGATTCAGTACAAAAGCAAGGTATGCTCGGATGGCAATTTAACACTGTGGGAGTCAGTGATGCCATCACTATGGGCGGAGAAGGTTTGTAGAACGTTCTTATCTTGAGGGATTTTCATTGACGCCTAGCAGGCATGAGATTCTCTTTACAGACACGTGAGATCATTGCAGATTCAATCGAGACTGTCACATGTGCCCAACACCATGATGCAAATATCTCAATTCCTGGTTGTGATAAAAACATGCCTGGAGTAAGTGCGCTCTTTGATATTTTGGTGGAGATACACTACCAGAATTCAATTCCTCATATATAAGTTACTGTTTTAACATTGGGACAGGTCATCATGGCTGCTGCACGTCATAATAGACCATTTGTTATGATTTATGGAGGTCAGTTTGTTGATCACCATATAATTCAAAAGCCTGACTCTCTCTAGGCTCAATCAAGAAGGGTTATTCCAAGTTGATGAAAAAGGAAATCAATATCAGCAGTTGTTATGAAGCAAGGTAAGAAAATATCCATTGGTTTATATGATAACAGTTCAGATTTAACATAGTGATTGTGTTTAGTGGTGCATTTACCTATAATAAACTTCACGCGGCTGTTGAGGGTGCAACTCCAAGTGACGTTATGGTAAGATCATGATAGATGTGTACGATTCGATCTGTCATTAATGATTGTGTAGGAAGACTATGAACAAAACGCTTGCCCTGGTGCTGGTGCTTGTGGTGGAATGTATACAGCCAACACGATGTCTACCGCCATCGAATCTATGGGACTTTGTCTCCCAGGATCTTCGTCAAATCCAGCCAATTCACCAGCTAAGATGAGAGAATGTGTTAAAGCTGCAGAAGCAATTAAGATTTGCATGGAAAAGAACATTCGACCACGAGACTTATTGACCAAGGAATCTTTTGAGAATGCTTTGGTAATTACAATGGCACTTGGTGGAAGTACTAATGCTACACTTCATTTCCTCGCCATGGCTGGTACAGCCGAAGTACCACTTTCCATTGACGATATTCAAAGAGTAAGCGATAAGATCCCATTTTTGGCAGATCTGCAACCCTCCGGAAGATTCTGTATGGAGGACCTCTACAATATTGGTGGAACACCGGCCGTTATTAAGCTTCTCGTTGCTGCGGGCTTGATGAATGGTGATATTCCGACTGTTACAGGAAAAACTTTGAGGGAAAATGTTGAAAGTTGGCCATCACTACCACAAGAACAGACGCTCATTAGACCTTTGAGTAATCCAATCAAACAGACTGGTCATTTACAGATTCTTCGAGGAAATCTTTCACCTGGTGGAGCAGTGGCAAAGATCACAGGGAAAGAAGGTCTAGTGTTTACTGGCAAGGCGATGGTTTTTGATAAAGAGCATGAACTTGATCATGCATTGAATAAGGGTGAGATTCCGCACGGAGAGAATCTCGTCTTGATTGTGAGATATGAAGGACCTAAAGGAGGACCGTAAGTTTCTTTCGCAGCATTGGGAGTGTCCCTAGACGTTGTTATGCCTTCCCTTGTTCTAGAAACTAACTTCTAATAGTGGAATGCCCGAGCAATTGAAAGCTAGTGCAGCAATCATGGGTGCTGGTCTCACGAATGTCGCTCTTGTTACCGATGGACGATATTCCGGTGCTAGTCACGGATTTATTGTAGGGCAGTACGTATTATTTTTTCTCAATAATATCCCCTCAGCATAGAATCCACATTCAATACCAATCTTCCTTTAGCAGAATGGATCACTAACATAACTCAAGCGTCGTCCCCGAAGCAGCAGTCGGTGGTCCCATCGCCGTGGTAAGAAATGGGGATATAGTAACCATATCTGCCGAATCCAATACTTTAAGTATGAATGTATCAGATGAAGAAATTGCAGAAAGACTCAAGTCTTGGAAGCCTCCCAAGAGTGCGGTTAATAGGGGTGTATTGGCGAAATATGCTAGACTTGTGGGAGATGCGAGCCACGGAGCTATGACGGATTTATTCTAGAAGCAAGGTGGGAAGATGGAAGATAAAATGGGTAGAGGTATACGGTGCTTGGTAGATGAGGATTTCATGATAGATTGAGAAGATTGGGTTTTGATTCCGTATGTCAAGTCGTCTTTCGAATGCCAGAAATTTCATCAACTCATGAATACCTGTCCTCCATTGTAGCAACGGTGAAAAGGGAGTTTCTAAGACTAATCATATATGGAAAAGAATAATCATCGATCTCTGTGGTTTTGAAAGAAAGAGAAATGACTGGACTTGACCCAATTTTAATAGAACTAATTCTGAGGTAGTCCTCAAAAGATGCCCAATAGATGCGTGGAGCGGGTGAATATCGGTAAAACAAAGCTTAATGATGACGTTCATGACTTCCGAGCTCTTTGATTCGCCAATCGTTTCGAAGCTCAAAGTCCCATCTGAACTCTTCACCATACTCTGTACAACCTCATTACATTCTCACTCAAACAACTATCAAATCACGAATACCGATACTATCGCAACTGAGTTCAATCTGCATAGTACGAAAAACCTTCAAACAAGCAAATAAACCCTTCCGCGGAAACGAAAACATCATGTCTCGCCTCCGCAAAATCAGCCCCTCCATTCCCGAAATCGCAAACGCAATTATCGCCCCGCGGTCGAATATTTCAACCTGCACAAGTACGAGATTGGGTTCTTGCCAGAGTTTGACACCAAGATTTAAGCATTCAAATCCATTTAAGATCTCATATCACGTACCCTACTCCATCTGCCAATCTCGTCATTACTCCCAATCCGTCCCCAGTAAACCTTCTCCTCCCATCAAACCAACCTCCGTGCGAACATCTTCTCCTTCTTCGCGTTCCCATTCACATCCTCCCGCGACTCACGATCGTGGTCCGCCTTCTTCGGAAACTACACAGACGGACTTTTCGGTGCTAGATGTATTAGGGAATACGCCGATGCCGAGTACGAGTATTGATGCGTGTTTGAGCGATGGGTTTCATTTGAATAGTGGTGTGAAGGTGGGCGGTGATGGAGTTTTTAAGGGTGGGAAATGGAGGGGAGGGGCTGGGGTTTTGTTGGTGGGGGGTGAGGCGTTTGGGTGGAAGCCTTGGGTTGGAGGTGCGAAGGAGGGGGAGGAGCTGGATTTGGTTAATAAGAAGGGTCAATTTGAGTGCGGGGATGAGGCGTGGGGTGTGCTGGGGTGTGTGTGGCCTAGACCTGGTATGTTTTTATTTCTTTCCTATTATTTGTATCCTCTCCTTCCCCTCAACTATTCTACCATAAAAAACTAAACTTCCTGGACTAACACACTCCTTTTCCAATAGATCTTTTAATCCTCGGCCTAGGAAAAGATATGCGACCCATATCCCCCAAAACCCGCGCATACATCAACGGCCTAGGAATTCAAATAGAAATCGCAGATACAAGGAACGCAGCCGCGCAATTTAACCTGCTGGCGACGGAACGGGGGGTTGGAAGTGTGGCGGGAGCATTGATGCCGATTGGACGGTAAATGAGGGGGGTTACAGATAATATGGCATTGGTGTCTACGGAATGAACAGATATATATATTTGTACGGCTATGGGGTATAGAAAATGATAAAACATGACGATAATATACTCAATGGACTAGAGATGGGACGAAGGACTATTATCGCCATGAAAATATTTCGGGGAGGAAATGAGGATATTGTAAATCAATAGGATGGCGGACACTGGAGATTTATGTCGTGGAGATAAAATATCCCGCCCGTTGTATACTGTACATCGCAGCTCCAGGGAGTTAGTCGGTGATGTGTTCTATTGTATCATGACATTTGTATCGATTCCAGACTCGATTTGTTGACGAAGTGTGTAGATATGCATATCAGTGAGTACAAAAGTAAGATTACAAAAGTATGAATACACAATTTCGAATGTAAATTTCGAATCTAGGTAGTTGTAATAAGATTACTTGATGGAACGCAAAATGTTCACCTGGTTTGTTTCTCTGTGAATACCTAGGTAGGTAGTTGACTACTGATATTTTGTTGGGAGTTCTAGGATGGTGGAGAGAAGGGGAGGGGGGGGGGGGGTTGATGTGAGTGAGGAAAGTAAGGGAGGGGAAGGGGAAGGAGATTAGATAGTATGTAGATACTAGGTATGGAAAGACGAAATGATGTGTACGGTTATAATTATGATTATAATCTGAGTATGCTTTTGGATTTGGATTTGGATTTGGATTTGGATTTGGATTTGGATTTGGATTTGGATTTGGTATTTGGTGTATGTGATATGTGATATGTGATATAGGGTAGATATTGGAGACTAGAGAAAGAGGAATGAGGGGGGGAGGGAGAGGACTGAGGGAAGAGGTGGAGGAGAATGGGAAGAGGCGAAAAGAAATGGAGATTCTGAGATTTAGGGCAGGGGTAAGGAATGAGGGGTTGAGATTAAGGGTGTGAGTTTGGGTGTGAGGAAATTGTGAGGACTTTATGTGCTGGTAAAGTTTGAAAATTAGTGGCGAGGATTGGGATTTTTGATTTGGTGGTGGTAGGTGTGGTGTGATGTGGTGTAGTGTGGTCTTTAGAAGGAATGTCAATGGGGATGTGGATATGGATGAGATGATATGATATGATATGAGAGGAAATAGAAGTTAGGGGTCTGGGGAGTGAGTATTGAAGATAGAGGAATAGAGAATGGAGAATGGATAAGCATGGTTTGGGTTGGGTTAGGCGGTGATTGGTGAAAGAGGTATGTTTTGGAAGGATGTATTGGGATGAGCGTGGGAAGGGAAAGGGAAAGGGAAATGAAGGGATATTGGAACTGAACCGAACCGAAACGATCTGGTTTTCTGGAATAGAATGTTGTGCTGTTTAGTCTGGATAGATGGTTCGAGATATATGGAGATGTGATATAAGACAATACCCTTCATGTTCCCTCATATTCCCTCGCATCCCCTCGCGTCCCCCTCCCTCCATCCCCATTCCCGTTTCTATCAAAATCAAAATCAAGTACCAAACAATACCTCTCACAAATCCACACATAAACCCATGACCCCGCACCACCCAAAAATAATCGACCCATTTCCATGTTTTATTACAAACTATGTTTCATAGTTGTGACATGTTACATGAAGAGATAAAATGAGATATGAGATCGTTGTGACGGTTTTGTCAGATGTGTGGGTTGAGGTTGTGGCTGCGGGATGGGGGGATATTGGGGATTGGGATGAGATGAGATGAGATGAGATGAGGGTTGCTTAGATGGAGGAGGGGGGTTTAGGAAAGGACTAGCTGGGACTTAGGTTGAGGGGAATGAATCTGTCGTCTTGATTAGGTACTACCGAGTCGCCTTCGATGAACAATCATCCGACCCAGTTGTCACCGACCCTTTCCACAACGCCGGACATGTTCATCTCTACTCATCCCGATTCCATAGTTTGGAGAGGGGATGTAAATATGGAGCATTGGTTACCTACCCAAGCTACCTCAACAAGTAACCTCATGTGGAGTGATGAAGATCGCAATGCTGAGGTGATCTCCAATACCTACTTACCTACCTTCATATGGAAGACCCAGAAAAAATATCTAGCCATCTAGCTATGCAAGAAGCGATGTTCAGCGGAAGTCCAGGGACCAAGTGAAAGTAATGTGCCATGATTCATCGCTACTCGTATCGAGGAGGGGTAATTGTGGCAGCGTGTCTGGAAATCGGTAATATCCAAGGCTATCAACTAGATATGTGCTTGTCCATGACAGATATACTTTGGAAAGAGCCTCGCTTCACATATGAGGTTGGACTTCAACTTGTGCCTAGGTCCTCGGATGCGTGATATATAATGTAAGAGTTCGTGATCGGCATCATTTACTACTACACCTAATAGTGCAGCATGATAGTCACCGAGGCATTTTTGATTTACTCAGCCTTCTTACTAAACGTTGAGGATGGAGGCAAAATGTAGGTGATTGGGAATGATTACTATCTTCATTCGCTAGAAGAACGTTGGTGGCGAGAAACTGGCTTACCAACATAGTCATCCCCAAATGTGCAGAGTCATGAGGGTGTAACTACACCATATTCCATGGGTAATGTCGAAGATCAAGAAGAAAGGTTTAATTGCACTTGCGTGACCAATGCCGATACATATCCGTCTGCCAAATCATCCCATCTAGGTTCGGCTATTTCCCACCTCGAGTTTGCCAGATGTCCATGGGTGGAAATAGTACCGAGATCGATCTCTTCCACTTGAAGATCTGAAACCGGAAGTTTTATGGGTAAACGAAATGATAAGGTTACTCCCGCCAATCCTTTTAGCTCGTCGTATCTGGCACGAAGAGATCTTGTACTCACGTTTTTGATCCGATGTAGTCTCGAACTTTAAATTGATGGAAGGAAGCACTAGAATCTCTGAGGTGATCATCTGCGGATGTCATCTTCCGTAAATAGAAAGGAATTCGACTCCGTCATCTTGTGATCTCGTGCGAGGAGAGTTCGTGGGAATGGGCTGATGATATGAAAGAAGAAAAGGTACTTGACATGAGGAGGACGAGTCAGAAACTTGAGGCGGTATATGGTCAGGGCGGACGAAGGAAAAAGTAAATCGGGTGGACGTTGAACTGCACAAATCAGCCTAGGTAGTGTAGTATAATTGGTTTGTATGCTGTACACTTGTTCTTCTTTGTCAAATGGATGTATAAAGTTTTTCTTCAACCTTTTCGTTTTGTGATCAATAAATATACTACCTACCTACCTATGCATGTACAGACAACAATGTATTGAAAAAGATGCAGTGAAGAAGATGCATGATTTGTTATTTACTGAAAATTCCAATTTGCCAAATATATTATGTTCGTTTGTTGAATGCAACCGTATTTTACCGGCAGCTTGGCCTTGTGGTTTGATAGGTCCCAAGGGTGTTAAATCATGGGTATAGTTTCGGTATGTTGCATATATGATATACCGCGGTAGGTTTGCCTTTTTAGTGCTGTTCATGCATGTTGCCATGTCTCTTTTGGTTACACGACATGATGGACTCGATGTCATCTGGATACCTCCTCATATCATGTTCGGTGAATGGTAGATTGAACGAGGACAGAAAGTCGGTCTATTGATGAGAATGGGGATTTGAACGATTGTGTGTGACGATGACAGTAGATTCATGGTATTATTGGATTGGTATCTATAGTATATTTGCTGATTGAGAATCCATCAACCGGGCTGGGGGCAGCATTCCTATTTGATATGTCAAAGTGGTACAGTACAGTATGGTAGTTCAAACGCGTACGACATTACCATTTGCTGATCTATTTGGTTGAGTGAAGAAGGACGACGAGATCTCTACCAGAGACCCAGGTCTACATGTATCCAGGTATGTATCTTTTATGGCTGCACTAAGTCTAAATGGAAATTACAGAGATTTTACCTCGTATCATATCATATCGTGACCTATAATCAGACTTTGATGTGATAGATGTCCTCAAATAGCGAGGTGTTGTTGAGTCCATACACTCGCCTACCTACCTCCCTCGCCTCCTACCTAGGAATGGCAGGGAATCATATCAAATCGGACTTTTTATCTCCAATGTAAACGAGGAATGAGGGGTTCAATGGATCTGATGCATGGAGGGGAAAAGAAGGCGAATAAGGCAAATAGATGAGAACAAGGATCTGAAGAAGGTTTTGGACGAGGCGGCCAAAGATCCCAGGGTCCAATCAGTAGTCGCGTCAAAAGGGAATAGATTGTCCCATGAATGGATTTATTCTCCCTCATTCTCCCTAGCGATATTCACCGCCACTGGACACCGCCATATTATCGATGTTTTGGGTGATGGTGATGCGGATGGTGATGTTGCTAATGCCGGTGTAGCTGATGTCGCCGGTCCTACTGATTGACTTATTGATTCTCCCATGGCTGAGATCGATCGCCAATGCGAATAGTTGATGGGGCTGGCAATGGCTTCAACACAAGTGACTGAATGGCGAACCACGATGCCCATTCGAACCAGGGAATTGCTGACGTTGTTGTGTCATGCATGGTAAGACCATTGGATGGGTTGTATTGCACGAGTGGTGAGAGGAATCACGAAATTGAGACAATTGAAACGGCACACACCAGAGAGAGAGAATCAAATAGACATTAGAAGGGTATCACACGAATTACACGAATCGTACAAAGAAGGAAGTTATTCCGATTGAAGGGAAATCCCAAAGAGTCAAAGGGGGTAGAAGAGATTTGTTGATGGATATTTGTTGAATGCTCTACCTGCCATTTTATACTCGTACCATCCTACACAAACAGACCCTTCCTACTTCCATTCCCGGTATATATTCTCTTATATATTCTCTTATATATTTATATCTTATCGCTCCATATCGTGTAAATCCAATCCGTTGATCCCGTTTGTTGAGAGCAATTATATCGTCATGTTTTTGCATGTTTTACTATTTACATAATCATTTTCCGATAGGTTCACCGGTTGTAAGGTTCACTACCTAGTAGGTAAACTAACATACCTCCATACATCAAAGACTCAGTCAGCTGGAGATCTTCCACTTCCTCCCTTCTTTATCATTTAACTTTTACCAAGGTCCCTTACTTTATCCTTGACATTATATAGTTTCGCCATCAGGGTTCCAAGGGTCCTACATAACTTCCTTTCTCTTCTCTCCTACCTGCATCTCAATCTCTTTCGAGATTCATCCTCCCAAAAATCGTCCGGTCAATCCCAATTGCCTCCCATCAACTTGTCATCCTCCCTCCTCCATACAATCAAAGGCAAATCAACCACGCGTCTTACTTGCCTGGCTGGCTGAATGACCTGTTCTGGAACCGCCCAATGCTCAATTCGACAGCGATTATCTAGACCAACGAAGCCAATTATATTACATAGACAACAAATCCTTCTTCCTCCATTGTCACAAAGACCAACGATCCTTTGCTCTATAAAACATCTGCGACCGCAACCAACATTT